GAGAAGCCCTCTATCTCTTCTGTTCTTCCTGCCTCGTCCATGATCTTGCCATGACAATAAATCTTTCCTATAGATGTCAATTTCTCCTCTGTTAGTTCTTGTCACGAGAAAACAAAACCAAAAAATCTCCTTTGAACCAACCAACCTCCCTTCCTAAGCGATTTCTTTCTCTCTTTGCAGTCTCTATTTCACTTCTTTTTCTCATACTGTAGCTCCTATATCAGCCGAATCAGTACCACCTGGAAACTTATTAGAAATGCAAATGATCAGATTCCACCCAGACCTACTGTATCAGAAACTCTGGGTGTGGGGCATAACATCTGTGTTTTAACAAGTTCCCCATGGAATTCTGCTGCACATAACGGTTTTGGGAACCACTGCTATAGACTGCATTGTTCCTCAGTTCTCATCCTATTTAACTTCTCTCCTACACTAGCCAGAGTTAGGCATTGCGTCCTCTTGAACTTTCTTTTCTACCCACAACTGCAAACCCTGTCCAGGTTCTCTTCTTAGCTCTCTGATCACTCATTAACAATTTCTTTCATTAGCCCTGTCTCTGTACCCAGTTACTATAAAACATTGGTATACAGTACTTAGCAATGTCTCCTAAATCTCACCAACTTCACTGCTTATTCACCAGACCTTGCTCTTTATGTGATCTCCACTTGGACTAAAGATATCAGTGCCCAGCCATTCATTCAAGCCAGGAATTTCTAAGTGATGTTCCTCTCTCACACTTTATTTTCCTATATTTAATTGGTTAACCAAATTTCATTAATATTTATCTCATGCTCCTCATGGGTCAGAAGAATTAATATTGTTAAAACAACCATACTAGCCAAAGCAATCTACAGAGTCGATGCAACCCCTACCAAAATACCCATGATATTCTTCTCAGAAAGAGAAAAAATAGAATAAAATCCTAAAATTTGTGTGGAATCACAAAAGACCTCAAATAACTAAAGCAATCCTGAGCAAAAGAACAAAGCTGAAGGCATTGTACTATCAGAATTCAAAATATACTACAAAGCTATAGTAACCAAAACAGCATGGTATTGGCATAAACAAAGACAAGTGGACCAATGGAACAGAATAGAGAAACACAAAATTAATCCACATTATCTACAGCCAACTGATTTTTGACAGAAGGCAGCTAGAATATTAATTGGGGAAAGGAAAGCCTCTTCAATAAAGGTTGCTAGGAATCCTGGATGTTCACATGCAGAAGAAAAAATCTAGACCCCCAACTCTCACCCTATACAAAAACCAATTCAAAATGGATCAAAGACCTAAATGTAAGACCCAAAACTATAAAATTACTGGAAGAAAACAAGGTGAAATGCTTCATTTTATAATTTTATAAATAGATTCTTATTTATAAAAGGTTTATAAATATAAAAGGATATTAAATATAAAGAAAAGGTTTTAAAGGCTATTAAATATAAATAAAAGGTTTATAACTATAATAAGAATCTATTTACAAAATTACAAGAATCTAAAGATTCTTATTTATAAAATATTTTCCTAGACCAATGTTCTGAAGCATTTTTATAAAATGTTTAGTTTATAAACAAATGGGATTATGTCAAACTAAAAAGCCTCTGCACAACAGGAAACAAAGTAAAAAAGACAACCTAGAGGATGAGAGAAAATATCTGTAAACTATTCATCTGACAGATAATTAATATGCAGAACATACACGGAACTCAAACATTTCAACAGCAAAAGCAATCTGAATAAAACAGGCAAACGATCAGAACAGTTATACAAATGGCCAACAAATATATGAAAAAATGCTCAGCATCACTAATCATCAGGCAAGTGCAAAACAAAGCCACAGTGAATTATCATCTCACCCCAGTTAGGATGACTATCATCAAAAAGACAAAAAATAAATGCTGGTGATGATGCAGAGAAAACAGAATTCTTCTACACTGCTAGTATAACCACTATGGAGAATGGTATGGATGTTCCTAAAAGAATTGTCAATAGAACTACATATGATTCAGTCATCTCACCGCTGAGCATTTATCCCAAGGAAAGAAAATCAGTGTATTGAAGAGACATCTGCACACCCATGTTTGTTGCCACACTATTTGCAATAGCCAAGATGTGGAATCAACCTAGATGTCCAATAACCAATGAATGGATAAGGAAAATGGTAAATATACACAATGGAATACTATTCAGCCATAAAAAAGAATGATGGCCAGGTGCGGTGGCTCACACCTGTAATCCCAGCACTTTGGAACGCAAGGTGAGTGGACTGCTTGAGTTCAGGAGTTCAAGAGCAGCCTGGGAAACACGGCAAAACCCTGTCTCTACGAAACAAACAAACAAACAAACAAACAAAATTATCCAGGCATGGTGGCATGTGCCTGTAGTCCCAGCTGCTTGGGAGGCTGAGGTGGGAGGATTGCTTGAGCCTGAGGTGGAGGCTGCAGTAAGCTGAGTTCGTGTCACTGCATTCCAGCCTGGATGACAGAGTGAGACTCTGTCTCAAAAAAAAAAAAAAAAAAAAAAAAGAAAAGGTTGGTGCAAATGTAACTGCGGTTTTTGCCATTATTTTTAATGGCAAAAATCACAATTACTTTTGCATCAACCCAATATCATTTATGGCAACACAGATGGAACTGGAGGACATTATGGTAAGTGAAATAACCCAAGAACAGAAAGTTAGATATTGCATGTTCTCACTCATGTGTGGAAGCTAAAAAATGTTGATCTCATAGAAGTAAAAAGTAGAACAGAGGGTACTAGAAGCTGGGAAGGGTAGGGGGAAAAGGGGGATAGGGAAAGATTTGTTAAAAGATATAAAATTACAGCTAGATAGAAGAACTAAGTTCTTGTGTTCTATAGCACTACAGGATGACTATAGTTAACAATATTTTATAGTTTCAAAGTGCTAGATGGAGGACATTGAATATTCCCAACACAAAGTAATGATACATGTTTGAGATGATAGATATGCTAATTCTTTTATTACATGTTATATGTATCAATACGTCACTATGTACCCATACACATACAATTATTACATATCAATTAAACAATAAAATGAAAAGTGTTTATCTCCGTAGCAACTCCCAAACCTGTTACCTACATTTTATTCCCAGGCACACTGCCAGAACATCTATAGTCTAAAATATGACAATAACCTACCTACTTAGAGCTGCTCTTTTTTTCAATATCCTCTCATAAACATTTCATTATCCTTCCAGTACAAACATGTCATCCCATTCAAAATGAAAAAAAAAAAATTGACAAGATTAAAAAAAATTAGAAAACAAAGAAAAAACACAACTTTGATGGCTTCCCCTTGCTTAAAGACTAAAGTTCAGCATCCTGAGCATAGAAAGCTGGCATTTAAACCAATCTATGCTTTCTGTCTCCTCTCCCACCACTTCTTTTCTAATTGCAAGACCTTTCTTTTTCCTTCTCAACTCATTGCTTAATCTAGGCGATATTAGTCATTTTCCCTTCTTGCAGCCTTGGCTAACAGTATTCTCTGCCTGAAATTCCCATCTCTAACCATATACTCATTTATTATTTAATAAGCATTAAATGTGTGATTATCTCAGGGGCAAGTAAAATGAATGAAGTATATCAGGTCTGCTCAGGGCTTGGAAATTGCTGCCACGTAAATACTGCCTTGAAAAAAAAGCCAGCAATTCAGGTTTTTAATGTGAAAATTCTTAATTTTAAAAGTTTGAAGCAAATATTTGAAAATCTAAAACAATCTTTTGTATAACATTGTGTGTCTGACAAGCAAAACACACCTGCAGGTTGTTGGTTTGGACCTTGTTCTTAGTTCCACTAGGCCCTAGGGATCCAAAGATAACCAAGACCGAGCCTCTGCCCTGATGGTCAACAGGCCCCTACTCACTTTCAAAATGCTCTGTTTACATGGCACCTGCCACACTGGATTCTTAAGAGTTAATTGTTTACTCCTTGAATCATCAAATCCCAGAGAAGCTGAGCTGTCTTTTTACCACCTGGCAATAGTAAGTGCTCACCTGTAACTATAACCACAGACAGTTTTCTATATAGAAACTTGTACCAACTTGATTCTAAAGTTTTAGTTATTTTGTATTTTCCCCTTCCTAAGTTGATAATATGCCTTGATTAGGCACCATCATGTAAGCTATGATCTAACTAAAGAATTTGTCTGCTCAGGTGCAAACCTAAAAAATGATCGGAGTCACATTTCAATTGTATGCTACAATTCTGAAAGTGTGTATATGTCTGTATGTTTGCCGCACATGATCCTTGCAAGATGGTAGCCAAAAGAAGGACTATTTAGAGATAATTTTAGTAAATTTAAGAAATTATTTTAGTCTAGGGCAGATCTTTTTACTTTGGAAAACAAGGAAAATGTGTTCACTTGTTCCTTGTTAATAGCAGGGTGCAACATCTTTCCATTTAACAAAAGTACTAAAAATTTCAGCTTTCATTTTTGCTGCAGTTATATAATTTCTAGTTACCCAAGCATGCTTATAAAACTAATTTAAGCTGGGCACTGCTGGACTTAGGAGATGTCAGTCATGTTTTAGTGAACCAAACACTCTCATTTCACTAAGCATCACACTTAAGAGGGGACTGCTTGAACATCACTATTTCACTCCTCAATTGATCTAATTTCTAGACCCAGCCACAATCCAAATATGTGCATTGATCTTACATGGCTGCCATCTGCAAAGTTGATAAACATCAATCCTACTGAAAAAGAAATATGTTTGTGTAGTTACTTCGATGTTGTCAAAATGAAGGAGAATAAATACTTGTCTTCCCTAACTGTATAATGAGCAAGTTAGAATCCCAGTCATATTTCATATGTTAAAGATTTAGGCTCCTATCAGTTTATTTTACAACTCTATATGATGTTATTGTATACACAAATTCACCTGTGTGTGGATGCCTGACTCTTTAACATTGAAATTCTATGCCTTGTGTTCATTAAGATAAACGTCTGTTGTCACTAACCAAACTGTAAGGCTTACCTGCAGACTGTTGAAAATGACAAAGAGAACCAACATCCAGAAGTGTCTGTAGGCCATGTGTAGTCCTCCCCAAAGCCATGTCACAGAAATCAGAGCAAAGAGATATAAAATCAGTGGAATTTCTAGAAATTAAAAAAAAAAAAAGAATTTTTGAGCTTCAGAATACTGCACAGTCACATGTATACACAAAGTTATTTTTGGCTTCTTTCTGTGGTATTCTAAGTGCCCATTTTGAGAGAACAACCTTGGAAATCCCATTCTTATGCCAGAGGAGAGAAGGCACATTGCTGAGTCCACATTCTTTCTGTTTTGCAAATGGGGCTGCTGGTAGGTCCAGGGATGGATGGGGGAGGATGAGAACTGTTCCTCTCCTAGACTACCACCTGCTGGACTGTTCAGAAAGTACCACAAGCAACAATGGAGTTGTAGAAATTTCCTTAAAAGAGTGTTCCACCAGAAAATGGCAGTCAGTAGTGTGCTCCCGAAATTAGCATATTCCAACCAGGCACTTAATAACAGAAATTACATAACATTGTGTGCGTGTGTGTGTGTGCATGCACGCGTGTGTGTGTTGGAAAAACCTGTACTCACATCCTTTTTCTGACCGAGAAGACACCAAAATTTATTGGTAAGTTTAAGAGCAAAGAGGAAGTGACTGATTCATAATGATCAACTAAGTTTATTCTACACATATTCTAATGCAGTTTGTTTCAAACGTTTTCAGAATAGATTTTCTCAGAGTCAAGGGACTTTATTACCCTTTCCACTTGTTTATTTTGAATTTTCTTTGCTATCTGAGTTTCAGAATAATAACCGTACAGAGGTGATTTTAATATTTAAATGACAAGTTATATAAGAGTTAGAAAGTGAATCAGATCTTTGCAGCCACAAATAAACACATTTTCATGCTGTTGAAAGACATCTGGGTAGACCACACCACTGACAAGTTTCATGACAGACCTCAAAGCGTTTCTTTACCCACTACCATCAATTAACACCTAAAATCCTTGTGCACTATGGAATTTAAACAGTTGCTTACAACTTTAGCAATTTTCAAATTTAATTTTATTTGGAAACAATCTCAAATATACAGAAGAGGTGCAAGTAGAGTACAATGAGAAACTTTTTTTTTCCTGAATCAATTGAATATTGTCAATCTGATCCCCCACTACCCTCTGAATAATGTGTTTTCTACAAAGACATTTTCCTACATAAACATGATGCCATGAAATCAGAAAATTAACACCGATATAGTACTATCATTCTCAGATTCCATTTTATTATACCAGTAATTTCCTTTTTAGCACAGAGATTCAGAGATCCAGCCTTGTATAGTTGACATGTCTCTGTAGACTCTTAATCCCAAATGGGTCTTCGTGTGTCCTTGACTTTTGTAACCTTGACACTTTTGATGATTACCAGCCAGTTTTTCTTGTAGAGTGTCCTTAAATTTGAGTTTATTTGATTCTTCTCATGATTAGATTTAGATTATGAACTGTTAGAAATCACAGAAGGGATGCTGGGTTCATCTTACAGCATTTTATCAGGTGGCACAAGAACTCAGTTTGTCCCATTACCGAAGATGTTCATTTTGGTCACTTGATTAAGATGGTGGCTGCACAAATTCTTCACTATAAAGCTAGCATTTTTCCCTTTGTAATTAAGCAGTTTTATCTGTGGCATTTCTTTGAAACTATGTAAATATCTTTTTCCTTACCAAATGTTTGATTTATCCACTTATTTATTTTCTAATATAGACTAATAGATTCCTGCTTATTTAGCATATTGTCCATTATTCTTTCTTTTACCCTTCTTTCCTTCCTTCCTTCCTCCCTCCCTCCTTCCTTATTTCTTTTTTCGTTTTCTTTCTCTTTTCTTTTTCCTCTCCTTTTCCTTCGCATAGGGTCATACAAAGTGTTTCTCCATTGCCCAGACTGGAGTGCAGTGGTGTTGTCACAGCTCACTGCAGGTTTGACCTCCTGGGCTCAAGCCATTCTCCCACCTCTCAGCCTCTCAAGTAACTACAGGTGCATGCCACCACGCCCACCTAATTTTTATATTTTTTGTATACATGGGGTTTCGCCATGTTGCCTGGCTGGTCTTGAACTTCTGGGCTTAAGCGATCCGCGTGCCTTGGCCTCCCAAAGTGCTGGGATTACAGGCATAAGCCATGGTACCCGGCCACTATCATTGTTTGTTTTGATGCCAAGTTGTCCCTAGTGGGAACCCTTTCAAGATGGTTTCTGTGCCTGTGGTTATATCCTCATCATTCTACTAGCAGTTGTTTGGTTTTTGGCCCAAGATGTTTCAAATGTTCTCTGTCCCAGTCCTGGTTTCTTTTAGGGGAGAATGATATTTAGAAAGTGTGATCTGGGGCTAGGTATGGTCACTGCTGTTGCTGCTCCTAAGCTCTCTCAGTAGATAGAATGAGAGGATACACATGCATATGCACACACAAACACATTTAGATCTGTTTTACTCTATCTATCTCTGTATAATGAAATTCATTAGTTCATTTCAATGCTTCTAATTCCAACCCAACATCACAGGGTTAATTCCAGTTTTCTTCCTTTCCATATTTGTAACTCTTCTGTGTTGGTAAGAGATCTAATTCTCATTATTCTTGAACTCCTAGATTCAGGCGATCTGCCCACCTCAGCCTCTCGAAGTGCTGGGATTACAGGTGTGAGCCACTGCACTCTGCTACTTCTTATTATTCTTAATATATCTACTGATCCGATCCACTCCTCTGCATGTAACCAACTTCCTATTGCTGTTATCCATTCCCTCGCTCAGGTGGCCTCCCAAACTCACTCAGCGTCCCACAATTCCTGCTGGGCAGCACTGCACTCCTCACATGGATTCCTTTCTCACAATGACTGGCTTCTGACACCCAGGCTTGGGCCCCTTCCTGCAGATGCACACCTTGCTCTGTACCAACTGGTGGCTGTAGATGGAATTGTTTGGGAAAGGGAGGAAAAAGAAAGCACAAGGAGAGAATGCAAAGAGGGAGAAGGGAAGTGGTGAGGAGAAAGAGGGAAACTGAACACTTTTTTTTTTTTTTTTGAGAGAAAGAAGGCTTTAGAAGGGGACTGTGCTGATATATACCCTTCCTCACAATATATACAAATTGTCTAAATTATTATTATAACTTTACAGGGAAAATAAGACTAATACAAGAAGATTTACATAGATGAATAATTTCTTTGTCACTAATGCTTTGCAGCAGGACAAGAAAATATATATTAAGATTTATTTAATTTTTAGAAAAATTCATTTTTATTTAATGAAATAATGCAATTTGATAAAGGGCCAGAAGGCTCATTTTTACTTCTGACAAGATATCCTAATATTTAGAAAACCCCTAAGCTGTGGTCACAAAATTTTCAAAGATTAGGTATCAAGTCTGGCAACTGCATTCTTTTCTTCCACCGTGTAAGAACAAAATTCTATTTATGGCTCTGTGCAGAGTACAAAGGGACACACACATTTCATATGAACAACTAAGAACCAATTTTCAAAGTTTGGCCTGCATGTTCCTGTAAGTTCTTAGAGCAAAGCAAGTGGTGTGTGCTGACAGAGCTTAGTGGAGAAGCTAAGGGAGCATACTGGGGCTCATGAGAATGTCCATGGCTTATATTTTCCTTGAATTCTGTAGAATAGTAGTTTGGCACCCCAGACTAGAAACTCCGTAAGGAAAAAAGCTAGTCATAAATAACTCAGCATACTTAATAGATCCCAGGCTTGCCTTCCAGAAGTACAACAATGATTAAGATAATGATTTCAGATAGAAGAAACATATCCAGAGGCACATTCGGATTTTGTGGGCCTTCTTATATTAGGGAGGCTTATATTGGGGAGGCTTGTTTAAAAAACAAAAATTACAAAACCATAATTAGGTACAGGATCTTGGAAGCAGCCAAGGCTGGTGAAAGGACCTGAAACTTAAGCTTCATCAGCTTTATGGTTAATCCACCTCTGAGGAGGCACCTTTAACTCTCTTTATGGCCTAAGTCAAAAGAAAAGAGGTATTGGGAGGGGGTGATGGTGATGAAAGTTAGTGGGGGGCATGTTGTTATTAAACAGTGATTATAAATTTCATTTGGCAAACTGAAAAACAGTGCTCCACTCAACTGAAAATCACTTTGGTTTTATATTTCCTAAGCTGTCATTTCGTATTTGATGAACTACTAATAACTTCTCTGCTGTCTATAATTCAATATTTACCAAAGAAAGCATTTGTAATTGGTAATACTGGAAACAACTTGTGTTTAGAAGTGAATTAGTGAAGATAAAACAGAGTCATTTCAATGTTCCCAATAAAAGGAGGCCCTACAAACACAGTGTTGCACCCAAGAAATGAGTATCTATATAAAAGACTGTGCCATATAGAATAAAGAACTCCTAAAACTTAACAAAATACCCATTCAATCCATTTGAAAAATGTACAAAAGACATTTCTTTTGAGAAGATACACAAATGGTCAATAATCACATGAAAAGATGCTCAGGATCACTAGTCATTAGGGAAACAAAGATCAAAACCACAGTGATACCACTTCATACCCACTAGGATGACTATTATCAAAAAACCAGGAAATAGTAAGTGTTGGTGAGGATATTTAGCAACTGCAACCCTTGTGCATGACTGATAGAGATGTAAAATGGCACAACTGCTGTGGAAAACAGTTTGGTAGAACCGCCAAATGTTAAACATAAGTTACCATATGATCCAACAATTCCACTTATAGGTATATATTCAAAAAAAGTGAAGGTACAGGTACTCAAATGGATATTTGCACACCAATATTCATGGCAGTGTCACAATAGCCGAAAGGCGGAAGCAACCCAAATGTCCATCAACAGACGAAGAGATAAATAAAATATACTATTTGCATATAATGTAATATTACTTAGTGCCATGTTCTTAATATTTGTGTTCCCCCAAACTTTATATGTTGAAACCTAATCACCAATGATAGCATTAGAAGGTTGGACTGCTTGGAGGTGATTAGGTTGTGAGAATAGAGCCCTCATGAATGGGATTAGTGCACCCATAAAAGACGCCCCAGAGCGCTGCCCTGCCCCTTCCACCATGTGAGGACACGCCGAGAAGGCACCAT